GGTTTTTTTTTTTTGTTTGTGTTTTTTTGTTGTTGTTTTGTTTTGTTGGGTTTTTTTTTGGTATCGAAGTCAGGTTTTTTTCTGGGCAGAATAATTAATTATAAAAAAAAACCAAAACAGAAGGGAAGGAAAAAAAAACAACCAAAAACCCCACAACACTCAGGGTTGGAGGGAGGGTAACAGGGGAGGAGAAACCAAACCCCAAAATAACAAAGCAAAGAAAAAAAGGGGTAAGCGAGCAGCTACACCAATGCAAACTGGAGAGAGACCAGTCAGGGAACCCAGGAGGTGATTTGCAAAGTACCATGGAGGGAACGAGTGCCCTGCCTGGGCAGGGGCTGCTGCAGGCAGAGGGCAGGCAGGAGGGGCAGTGGCTGCAGGCGGGGAAAGCAGCCCCATAGGGTCCAGCTCTGGTGAGCAGTTTGGTTTCCAAGAGGTACCGTGGCATTCCCACAGGAATGTCACTGCTGCCACGCTGAAAAACAGACCTAACCCACATCCCCAGAATACTTGACTAGAATGGTTTCACATAAAATAAGCTGGAAGTGGTTAAAAGGCTGCGTTGGGGTAGGGCCATGGGAGGAGGAGGAGAACAAGAAGATGGGCAGCATCTCCTGACCAGCCTTGCAGGGAACCAACCTTCTTGTTGCTCTTAACATGTTCTCAGGTGGAAGACAGCCCTAAACCTGACATGTCACATCACATCTCCATTCCTGGGCATGGATGCAAAAGGAGGAGCAGAAAGTGTCTCCCGCTGGAGACCTAAGAACTAAGCAAGGAGCAGCTCAGGCTGTTTCTTGTCCACCTTTCACGTCCTACCCTGATCCCACCAGCTCAGAAACAGAAAAATCCACTGAATCGGGACTTTTGGCATTTGGGGAAGGTCACAAATTTCAGAGCAGGTGTTTTCAGAGCCTTCTGGACTTGTTCCCCCAGGAAGGGCAGGCTTCACCCCCGAGTCAGGTGAGCCATGCTTCTGGCTCCATGCTGCAAGGTGACAGTAAGCCAGAGCCATGGGCACAGCCTTTTTGCTGCAAAAGGGTGGACTTTTTTCTGGAAGAGTTTAAACAGTTTTCCACTTAATGCTGCTCTGCCCCAGCAGTTCCCATCTCGAGATGGCTGGCACCAGCACAGGGAAGGTGGGCACAGACATGCAAGAACATGAGATGTGGCCAAGAGGCATTAGGATCCATCAGAAGGTGCCAGACGTGCTGTACCCACACCGGTCCCGACGACACCCGAGGTCTTGCAGTGGGCTGGCTCAGCCTCCTCACACCTGCTGGAAGAGCCAGTGGCCAGGGCAACCCAGAACCTCCTCATTCTGCTCTTTAACCGACAGCTGTGTCCTCTTAGTGTGGGTTGCCCGAAGGGGTGTTCCAGCAGGATGAAGCCTTCCTCATCACCCATCACTGTGTGTCCAAAGAGCAGACCAGAAACCCCACAAATTGGGATGCTGCTCCCAGGGGAAAAACTAGCAGTGTCAGTGGAAAAACATTCCCAAGCAGGCCATCCACCTGTCTTGCAGAGCCTTCACCCTCAGGCAAACCTGTGGCATTAACTGTTACCAAAAGCAGCTGAGGTGCTCAGCCTACCACCTCCAGCCCCTGAGGTCCTGCTGCCTGTCCCTCACTGCCTGCCTGGCATGGCTTTGGGTGCCACCAACCTCTGGGAATCCTGCCTGCACTGCACCTCCTCCTCCTCCTCCGCAGCGCAGCATGCTCCCAAAACCCGAGCCAACACCCCGTGACACTCTTTTTGCCAGGAAAAAAACCTCCACCACCGGCCTCCCTAGGTGCTGCGAGCAAACTGCTGAGGTCCCATCAATTATCTACGCCTGATCCCGTACAACACCGTGGAGTGCTCAGTGGTGACTGTTTCTCATCCACCTCTGCCTAGTTTCGTTCCCTCCTCTCCACCCTTTCACCAGCAGGCAGGGAGGATGGTGGGGTTTCAAGGCTCATCCAGCTTTGGAATGTGCAGCAGAGCAGGGCGAGGACCAGGAGTGCCCAAGGGACAGCCCAGTGAGGCAGGGCTGGGCGTGGGGCTGGGAGGGATGAAGTGGCAGTGGGGCTGTGGTGGCAATTCCCTATGGAGAGGTAGCATGAGAGACAGGGAGCACGAGGGGGGGCTGCCTGCTAGCAAAGGAGTGAGATGTGACTGAGGTATGTTGGTGGCTCCTCAGAAAGATGCCGAGCATGAGGCCATGTACTGCTTTGGGGCTGCTCGGTGTGGCGGCTGTTGATTTTTTTGCTTTTCCTCCTTAAAATCCTTCTACCTGGCGACACATCCTTCAGTGGGAAAGGGTGAGGGGAGTGGTGTTGTGGCGGTGGGGGAGAGGGGGAGAGCGGCTTCTACCCAGAAAAGAAAGGGAAGAGAGTATAAAGAAGTGTCCAGATTGGCTGAAAAAAGCATCCCGACGAAGAGAAGAGAAGAGAAGGAGTCTTCTTGTGTGTGCTGATTGGGTTCACCTCCAGTCTGACTGCTGCGGTGTTAGGAGAGGCCCCCTCCCCTCCTGCCCCCGCCGGGGCCGGCTCAGCCAGGGATGCAATTTGCTGGGAGATCAGTTGGAGGTATCAGAGTGAACACTGCCAGGGCCTTCTGTGGGGGAGGTCACCGACGACGGGGTAGTAGCGTCTTGCCAACCTCCATTAGCCTGTGAATGGGAGACATGGAGACATCAGTCACCCAACAGCACAGCCAGCCCTCCCCCAGCCTCCCACCCACCTTGGAACCCCTTGCTTCTCCCTCAGCAGGGCTGATGTAGGAGACAAAGATGTCCCCTCTGGCTCCCCCAACCCAGCCCAAAACACAGGGCTCCATCAGTGGGACAGGGCCAGGAATAATTCTATTAAAAACCGGTTTTGACAAATTGCAAGGGCTCATGGAAATTCTGTCACTTAAAAAATACATATTTCTGCAGAAACCTAGAGCTCGGGTTGCCTGTTTTGTTTTGTTTTAACCCCATATGGAAGGAGGAAAATAGCAAACACCTCACTCCAGAAACCCCATCCTGGGACACTGTGTGCTATGAACCAAGGGACTGCTGAACTGTGCCATGACCCCCAGCATCACTCCATGTACCTTTCCAGGCCCTCTCCTGCTGCACAGTCCCACTGTGGCGGGAAATCACCAGCACCAAGCCTTGTTGCAGAGAACACACATTGTCTACAAACCCCTCCTGCCACCATGAAGGCTTTATGAGGGGATCTGGGCCATCTCTCTGCTCCCAGCACAAAAGCCTCTCCCTCCTTTACTTTGCAGTAAAACCACAAACAAGTTTCTGCTGCCCTGGGGCTGGTCCTGCACACTCCTGTCACAGTGCAAAGGGCGGTGCCAGCACCGTATCCCATCTGAGGGTTCATACAGCAAAACAAAGAGGGAACTAAAAACAGCTACAGAGCCAAATTCTCCAGCCACTTGAGAGCAGAGCTGCTGGAGGGGCCTGACTGGCACAGACAGGAGGCGGCCG